GCCGTGCGCCGGCCCCTCGACGGAGACGCGACGAGCCTGAGCAAAGGCAAGTTTTGTGCCGTAATCCATCCGAGCATACGCTGATTGGATGTCACAGAGATTCGAGCAGCTCGAAAATCCGCGTCGAGAACATCCACTACGAGTTGACTCCTGACGACTTGGAAGTATGCTCCCCTAAAGGTGTCGAATACCGTGGCCCGGACTAAAGCTTGTGCAGGAATTGTTTAACAGAATCGGCCCTGTCGCGAAGTTGGATCTCAAGTATGATCGCGCTGGTCGCTCGGAGGGCGTTGCCTTCGTCACGATGGAGTCCCGCGAGGATGCTTTGGACGCGATCAAGCAGTTTGACGGTGCTAATGCTAACGGTAAGTGCCTTTTTTTCGAGTCAATTTGTCAGTGGCAGTTCAAAGACTAACATCTCAGGCCAACCCATCAAACTGTCAATCATTGGCGGTGGAGCCGGCGGTCGATCTCGCAACCCCTTTGACTCGGCGGTGATGCCGGGCCGTCCACTTGCAGAGCGAATCTCTGCTCCCGGCGGTCGCTCGAGATCCATGTCCCCTGGACGAAGATACGATGTCGACGAGGCTGCTGAGAGAGGCATTGACAGATACGTCCCCGGAAGCCGTGGAAACCGTTCGCGAAGCCCTATGCCCCGCCGGCGCGGAAACGGTGGCGGTGGTGGCGGACGCAGACCTGGAGCTCGCAGAGAAGGCGGTAGAGATGGTGGCAGAGACGGTGGTAGAGATGGCGGCAGAGACCAAGAAGGTGGAAGAGGTGGCCGCTCGGGTAGAGACGGTCGTACTCGGAAGACACAGGAGGAACTGGATGCCGAGATGGCTGACTACTTTGGCGGAGGCAACTCCGGAGAGGCTGCGCCTCAGCCGAACGGTGGCGCTGCCGCTGCCGCGGTCCCCGCCGCGAACGATGATATCGATATGATCGAGTAAACACTGGTCCAGCTCAGTCTGACCTTAGTTTATGCTGCACGGAATGTCTCGGGCCAGTCCTCAGACCAAGTTACGAGAGAGGAGAAGCCTGGTTGAGACACGTGGAAAGCCAGTTGTCAGAAAACCCCCCATTGTGCGCCTTCACCAATAGCATCGTGGACCATTAACTATAGAAGTCAACAATAACACCATCAGCTTGTCGATGAACCTGATCTGAATCCGGATTACAGTTCGCGCATGGTCCAAAATCAGGGACTCGAGTGAACCAGGGCACCAATCAAGGATTTTGGAATCTTGGACCCTTTTCTTCGGCATTGCCTCCGTGGCTTCTGTGTCCACTTGCCCGAGTGGTCCGCCGAAGATTTCCTGAAATATTCCTGCCGATGTTACTCGGTAGGTTTGCAGATCCCCGTTTTCGCCGCTTTGGGCCCCCTGGAGACTGGAGCAACTCAACAAGGACGAGTTATCGATGGTAGCGGCTGTTCCTGGGTACCTCGGTGTGCTAGGGCCTGGTTGTCCAACCAGGCTCACCTTCACCTATGCGGCAAAGAGCAGGGCATGTCTCGGTATGGGTGAGACTGGCTTGACTGGATGTCCGTACATAAACTGCAGTGCCCGTAAATCGCAGTCGTCAAAACAAGGGACATGCCTATCTGGGGAGGTCCACGAGTGAGCCGCCGCGGCGCCGCCCCCTAAAAAATCAAGTTTGCGATCGTCGGGGACCCTCCATGCATGTGAAGAGTGTGACATATAACTTGGCAACGGTCCTCCAAAAACCAAGAAAAATCACCCATGTCGCCCCAGGTCCCCCGCCAAGTGCACGTCCCGGCCTGCAACGTCAGGGTGCATGCACCTCGCCCGCGCCCGCGTTTGCACGTCGCAGGAAGAAGCTCTGGCACTAAGGTAAATGCCCACTCCAACTCCCCGGCCCCCAGTCTGCGCCTCTCACCTTCCCGTCTCCCCCAAGTCTCCCACCACAACACTCCAGCTCTCTCCCGGCGTCTACCTTGCCTCACTCTTCCCACCGTCACCTCAAACCTTGGAAATCGTTGCAACCGGAATGGAGAGTCGACGGTGAACCGTGAACACGGACACGACCACACTTTATTCAAACGGAGACACCGATTGCTACCATCGACCTGGCGACTCTAAACGGACCGACGATAGGGCAAGCGCAACAATATGACGGCTGCTAGTGATAGTACAGACTTATATCACCTCTCCCGAGCACGAAGGCCCGTCTTGCGCCCTTCGCTGTACGACTGAATCGTGAGAATAACGATCGACACATAAAGAGGCAAACCACCTGCAGAGCGCGACACGAGGGTTTGTTTCAACCCTCGAATCTCCAACATCTTAACTTTTGACATCAGCGGAACATACGCAACCACCATCGTCGTGTTCAGTATATACACAGTTAATCCAAACAACTCTTGATCAACTTACACTCCGTCATCATCCATCAACCGGTTCTACTGGGCAGACTCTTCATCACTTACACGGGATGGAATCAGCCCAGCACACGGAGGGCCCGTCGCCAGCTTCACACAACAATAACACTATACTTACACCAAATAACTCCCAGCAACAATCACGGCCCCGGCCCAAATCTCAACCACCCAAGCAGCGGAGGAGACCGTCGCGGCCACAGGGATCAGACTTGAGTAGGAGACCTGCGTCGGACGGCTCTGACCGCGACAGGGAGACCGATGACGCTGGGGAAGGCGCTGCCAACCCAAAGCCTAATCAGTCAGGCTCGGGACAGTCGGCGTCGAGGCCTGCCAGAAGACGCCCAGCTGCCCCTCGGCCTGCGCCAGCACCATCGACAGCGATGCCTTCGGAAGATGAGCAACTAGTCGACCCGGTACCACTCCGGTCAGGCCATTTAAACCGACGGGCCGCACCTAGAAGAGTGCCGCGCCTCGGCGAGAACAGCGCGTCTGCGCTGGCATCTGACACGGACACCACGAGTAGCTCATCGTCATCATCATCATCAGCGTTCCCACCGATCCGGCGGCCTCCGGCGTGTCGTCGGCGACCGTCGGATATGAATCTCTCCCTGAGAGCTCCGATAACTGAGATGCCCGAGGATGGTGGCGAGCTCCCTCCTGGCGGTCCCGACTTCTCTACACCGCGACCTCAACGCGAGAAGAACCCGCGAGAAATCTTACACGAAGGCGAGCGAGGCTTTATTGTTGACCTCAGACTCAACCTGGACGTCGAGGTGCACATCAAGGCGAAGCTCTCTGGTGACCTGACGCTGTCAGTGTTATAATATCTGTTATTGGAATAAGGACAACGAATTTTGTGACGAAGGTGCGATGATGTTATATAGTGTAAGAGTATCCTGGCCGGCGCATAATGGATCATGGTGTAATAGTACTGGGGATAGGAGGCGCTAGGAGGTTTGGGCAGGCAGCATATGGTTCATGGTACGAATGGCGTCGAGAGCGATCTTTGGAAAACTTCAAACAAACGAGTGCAGCGTTGACATGTAACTGAGACAATGTTTAAGTCTTCAAAGCTACTTTTGACCCTTTGCCTGAAATCTACATTTCGTCCAAGTTGTACTTATGGGGAGAGTGAATCAGTCTTCAGTCCGTCTTCTTCTTCTTTCTCTCAAACCCCTCCGTCAAAGCAGCAGCAACGTCCTCCACCGTCGTGCCCCTCTTCCTCTTGCCAATCTTCTCCCCGCCCAGCGGCGAATCCTCCGCCACGGACTTATACACGCCCGCCGCGCCGACAAACAACTCGGGCCCGAACCCGCCCTCCTCGGCGTGCGTCTTGGCGATCTCCTCCATCTCGCGGACCCAGCGGTACGCTTTGGGCGGCATCGTCACGACGCCCTTTTCCGCGGACTGCAGGTGCGAGGGGAGGCGGGCGGCGAGCTCGTCGCGCAGGTGGGGGAGCACGCCCATCCTGTGGGCCGAGGTGAAGGCCTGGGTGGCGATGGCGGTGAAGCCCTTTGAGAGGGAGGCGAAGCACATTTTCAGGCCCGAGGCGGCGCCGATGGAGTCGGAGATGTGGTTGCCGCCTAGGGTTGCGCTTAGACGGGCGCCGAAGGATGCATTTGCGTCGTCTGGGGAGGAACCTGGGAGGGAGAGGTCGGATAGCTTGTCGGGGCCGGACATGGGCATGCCCGGGACGTACCACGCATCCGGGTCGTTGTCGTCGTCGCCGGTACCGGGCGGTGGGGCCGAGGCAGAGACGTTTGTGCCGGCGTTGGGGGCGGATTTGGGCCTGGGCGGGGCGCCGATGATGCAGGCGTCGACGAAGCGTGCGGGGGTGCGGGCGCGGGCGAAGGAGGCGGCGATGGATTTGCAGGTGGAGGGGGCGACGGCGTTCATGTCGATGAAGTAGAGGGGTGTCTCGCGCGACGATGCAGTGCCGGCGAGGGCGTCGATGATGCGCTCCGCGGTGGCTTCTGCGTCGCGCGGGGGCACGACGGAGAGGATTACGGCGCACTGGGATGCTAGGGCTTCGTCTGTGTCTAGGAGCTCTACTTTTGCGTCGCGGGCTCGTTGGAGGGTGTCCTCGCTGTAGCAATGTTAGTTCCAAGGTGATATCGAATGTTTACTTCATACAGGTGGAGAGTGTTTGAATTTACCTGCGGCCTTTGCAGTTCGTTGCGACTTGAAAGCCTTTGGCAATGAGGAGCTTGGCGATGCCGACGCCCATGTCGCCGATGGAGATGACTCCGATCTTTGAGGGCGTCACGTTGGTTGCGGCCATGATCGAGGAAGCGGGACGTTGAGGATTATGTCGTCTAAATTATCTGTCTAAATGCTTGAGTTACCTCCCGTTGATAAAGAATGAGATGTATGGAAGAGAAAGAGTATGCATATCCACCTGCGGCGATCTGAGCTGCAAGTTACAGAATTGCGTCAGTTCTTTTTCGTCAAAACCCTCCCGATTACCTACACCACGACACCGGATGACCGGCTCAAGCTTTGCAGCGACGACGAGAGAAAATACGTATCAGAGCTCATTCCCTAAAAAAACAATTACAGTAGTTTTCCCCCCTAGTCTTACATCCATAGATTTTACATCTTAGCTTGAGGCTCCCAAGCCTTTCTCCGTGTGCAGGCTAAGCCTTCTGAACTTGGAACGTTTTTGGTCAGGGAGTCCTAAATGTCCGATCCACGCTCCGGGCACGTCCAGCTTCGTCTCACGGACGAGAGGATGCAGCGACCTGCACTCAAGGAAGAGCCCGTGGGTTGTCACCGCTCCAAACTGGTGCCGGATTTGTTTCCAGTCTCGCGAAGCGGGAACTGGCGATGCCTCTAACCGCGCGTCATCCGTCACTCCAAAGGAGTCGGTGAACTGAGATTCGCCTTCCGCTGCCGTATTCGCTTTGGCGGCGGTGAAGGGCGGAGCGACAAAGTATTGAATGTACGAGCCCGGAGCGATGACGCCTTGTTCGGCGTCGCCGCCACCGTCGTTCCGGTTCTCAAAGGAACGGATGAAGCTGTCAAGATCCTCTTCCTCAGAGGAAGCGGAATACTTGACTTCGGGATCGAGCGAAAGGAGGCCTGCCTTCTTCCCCCAGCCGCCGCCGCCGCTCTCTTCATTCTCTGGTTAGATGAGCTTACTCATTGTTGGGCTGGGTGTTCAACTTACGAATCTTGTAGACCCTGGCACCCCTATTGATGAGCCATTTCATATATTCCTTCGTATTCAGGACCATGGACCACTCGTCTCCAGCGTTCCGTACCTTTGACGCTGTCTCGGACAAACGGTTCAAGAACTCAATGGTTCCCGCTTGGTCATCGCCAGGGGGACAAACAACTCCCCATACACCTACGGGGCCCGGAGGGAACTCATGGCCCTCTGCCGTCCGCCTATCGAAGAGCGCTTGGACAGCCGTCTCGAGCTCCGCAGAAGCAGGCGTCTCTTTACCATCTACGTCGACCTGCCTGATGATGTTGCCCAGGCCCGATACGATCTTCCGCGGAGCCGTGATGGGGACCAGGGGTGCCTGAATCGAGTTGGTGTGATCGCTCCCTCTGGTGTAGATGTTGACTTCCTGAGCCCGTCGCTCTTCGCGCTCGACCAGATCCAAACCCCCCTTCAGGTTGACTTTCCAGCGGCTAGCGATGAGAGTCGACTGAAGGCCATTCTGAAAGATCGTGTTCGCCAAGGGAAGTGTGCATACGTAACTGCCAGGCTTCGACCCGTAGGAAAACGTAATGGCAGCGTTCAGCTTGTCGTTGCTACGAGGAGCAGACTGCATGTTAGGGCTCTTCCCCTGCCACAGCCTCGGCATGATCATATCCTTTGGCCCGTAGTAGAATGAGAATCCGTGTGGGATGTCACCGAATGCACGAAGGGGGTGAAGCCCATCGACTGCACCGGTAAGAGCGTTGAATTCGCGACCCACATCGCCGGATGATTTCGAATCCCCAAAGGGTCGCAGCAATGCGGCCATAAACTTTTCATCTAGCAGCCACGACGCATATGGCCGGGAAGCAAGTACTACAACCGCGCCGTCATCTTTCTCGAGGCCTGCTTTCTGTAAAGACCTGACAGTCTTGGTCACTCTCTGAACGAGGGTACCCTATTCACGCGGTCAGTATTAATGAGATATGAGATCTCGATGCAAGGAAGATCTCTTTTTTTTCCCCGGCAGGCTCACCTGCCAGCTCTCTTCATTCCCGTGGACAGAAAAGCATGCAGTTTTATATCCTCGTCTAGCCAATGAATGTCTAGCACACTGAGCGAACCGGGGGATGGCTCTCTGGATATACATCGCGTCACGATTACCACGTCCAGGCTGGGCCGAGGTCTCGGAACGCTTCTTTTTCGTCCGCAACTGGATTGTTAATCACAGACGCATATGCTGATGAGATTCCTCCCTTTCCTTACAAACCCATTGAATCGAATTGAGGTCTTGTGTGAGTCAGGTTTCCGCAACTGCTCCAGCTTTGGAAGGTAGAAAGTGAATGAATGTATGATGAATTATCCAACGACCTTGATTGGTGTGGCTGGAGCTTGAGCTTCCCAGGTTCAATGCGGCGGCAGGAAAATGCACCAGGGGCAGAAGCGGCGTGCGACTCATCCCAATGGAACTTTGGTACCTTATCGGCTCTGAGGAACGGATACTCGTTATCGATAAGGCAAGTCATCGATAAACCCCCCTTGCTTGTGGCTGGTAAATCGGACTTGAGCACCTCAGGTTCCCTGCGCCTGTGGCTCGCACCCGAATTTTAGCTGCATGACCCCTCCAAGGCCCTCCTCCTCGAACACCCAATCCTGTGACTCAAATCCGCGAAGTGCTGCAATCAGACCGCCGAGTCATAGTTGCTTGCCCCTCCTCGGAGACCTTTGGAGATTTTTTTGTATTTTACCATCAGTCGAAGCCCACCTCCCCGGGCTTCTTCGCAACCATATCCACCACGTCCAACTCAATATTTCTTCGAGCACTCCGCGTGCGCCCTCCATCACTCAGTCTACGTCCACGTCCTCCCCGTCTTCGACCTTTCCTACAGACACGTGCCACCATGGCCACCGACAGCGGACGCGGAAACCCCAGTGCGCAAGCCCCTCCTCCCCCATCCCACACCCCACATTCTCACGATGCCTCCCGGCCCAATTGCCATTGTGACGCTTTCAGACATTGAGCTGACCCATGTGTCTCCTTCCCAGTCGGCGCTACTGAGGGCCTCAAGGAGGAGGTTCCTCCTGCCGTCTCAAACGAAACCAAGGCCCAGGTTGCCTCGACGTCCGCCACCCATGCCGCCGGTCAGGATGCTGGTGCGACCGCTGGCGCACCTCCCAAGGTGAAGACCGAGAAGGAATTGGAGAAGGAGCGCAAGAAGGCCGAAAAGGACGCCAAATTCAAGGCGAAGTTGGCCGAGAAGGCCGCAAAGGCCGCCGCAGCCCCCGCTGCATCCAAGAACAAGGAGAAGAAGGCCAAGGCCGAGAAGAAGGAGGAAGAGGCTATCCCTGAATACGTTGAAGATACCCCCAAGGGAGAGAAGAAGCGCCTCAAGCCCCTCGAGGACCCCCACTTCAAGGCGTATCACCCAGAAGCTGTCGAGAGTGCCTGGTATGACTGGTGGGAGAAGGAAGGCTTCTTCAGTACGTGATACCGGTCGCACCCCTTTCTTGTGGGAGGTCTTGCGTGAGCTAATACAACCTCAACAGAGCCCGAATTCACTGCCGAGGGCAAGGTTAAGCCCGCGGGCAAGTTCGTCATCGCTCACCCTCCTCCTAACGTCACCGGTGCCCTGCATTTGGGCCACGCCCTTGGCGACTCCCTTCAAGATATCATGATTCGATGGAACCGCATGTTGGGCAAGACGACGCTCTGGATCCCCGGTTGCGATCACGCCGGTATCTCGACACAGAGCGTTGTCGAGAACATGCTCTGGAGGAGAGAAGGAAAGACCCGTCACGACCTCGGCCGTGAGGACTTTGTCGACAAGGTCTGGGCCTGGAAGGGCGAATACCACGACAAGATCAACGCTGCTCTCCGAAAGATGGGAGGAAGTTTCGACTGGAGCCGTGAGGCCTTCACCATGGACGCGAACCTGTCCGCCGCCGTTGCCGAGACCTTTGTCAGACTTTTCGAGGAGGGTACCATCTACCGCGCCAACAGACTTGTCAACTGGTCTTCCAGGCTCACCACCGCCCTTTCCAACCTCGAGGTTATCAACAAGGAGCTGACTGGAAGGACATTGTTGGAGGTCCCCGGCTACGAGAAGAAGATTGAGTTTGGTGTTTTGATTCATTTCAAGTACCAGATTGAGGGTACCGATGAGTATCTTGAGGTTGCCACCACCCGTATTGAGACCATGCTGGGCGATTCAGGTATCGCTGTTCACCCGGATGATCCTAGATATACGCACCTGGTTGGAAAGAAGGCTATCCACCCCATCATCCCGGGTCGTCTGATGCCCATCGTTGCGGATACCTATGTCGACAAGGAGTTCGGTACCGGTGCCGTCAAGCTTACCCCGGCCCACGACCCCAACGATTTCAACCTGGGCCAGAAGCATGGCCTCGAGTTCATCAACATTCTTACTGATGATGGAAACATCAACGAGAATGGTGGCAAGTACCAGGGTCAGAAGAGATTCGAGTAAGTGACTGCGCAGATCTCGCATACCCTCATGCAAACTAACCTCTTTAGCGTGCGTTATGCCATCCAGGAGGAGCTCAAGCAGCTCGGTCTCTACGTCGACAAGAAGGACAACGCCATGACTATTCCCCTTTGCGAGCGCTCCAAGGACGTCATTGAGCCTCTGCTGAAGCCCCAGTGGTACATGAGCATGCGCAGCATGGCCGACGATGCCGTTGCCGCTGTCAAGGACGGCAGAATCAAGATCAAGCCCGAGTCCTCCGAGCGCAGCTTCTACGCCTGGATGGCCAACATCAACGACTGGTGTATCTCCCGTCAGCTTTGGTGGGGTCACCGTTGCCCTGTGTACCTGGCCAAGGTTGAGGGCGAGAAGTCCGATTCCCTGGACAACAAGCGGTGGTTCGCTGGCAAGACTCGCGAGGAGGCCGAGGCCAAGGCCAAGGCTGCCCTTCCCGGCAAGAACTTCACTCTTGAGCAAGATGAGGACGTGCTCGATACCTGGTTCTCTTCTGGTCTGTGGCCCTTCTCAACCCTGGGCTGGCCCAACAAGACCCAAGACCTGCAGGAGTTGTACCCTACCTCTGTCCTCGAGACTGGTTGGGATATTCTGTTCTTCTGGATTGCCAGAATGGTCATGCTGGGTATCAAGCTTACTGGCCAGGTTCCTTTCACTGAGGTGTACTGCCACAGCCTCGTCCGTGACTCCGAGGGCCGCAAGATGAGCAAGTCTCTGGGTAACGTCATTGACCCCCTGGACGCCATCGCTGGTATCAAGCTCGAGGACCTCCACGCCAAGCTTCGCACCGGTAACCTCCACCCCAGCGAAGTTGCCAAGGCCGAGAAGTACCAGAAGCAGGCCTTCCCTGATGGTCTGCCTCGCAACGGTGCTGACAGTCTTCGCTTCACCATGGCTGCGCTCACATCGACGAGCGGTGATGTCAACTTTGACGTCAAGGTCATGACCGGTTGGAGAAAGTTCTGCAACAAGATCTGGCAAGCGTCCAAGTATGTCCTGGGTAACCTGCCCGCGGACTTTGTTCCCGCCAAGGAGGCTACCGTTGGTGTTACTCTTGCGGAGAAGTGGATCCTTCACAAGCTCAACAACGCCGCCAAGGAGATCAACACCGCTCTGGCGGCGAGAGATTTCCAGCAGGCCACTGGTATCGTGTACCAGTACATTCTCAACTTCCTTTGCGATGTCTACATTGAGAACAGCAAGTCCATCATCAGGGATGGCACCCCCGAGGAGGCCGCCAGCGCCGTCCAGACCCTGTACACCGCGTTGGAGGGTGCGCTGACCATGATCCACCCCTTCACACCCTTCCTCACGGAGGAGTTGTGGCAGCGTCTGCCTCGCCGCCCTGAGGACAAGACCAGGTCTATCATGCTTGCCAGCTACCCCGTCTACGACGCCAAGTTTGATGACCCCAAGTCCGAGGCCGCGTACGAGCTTGTCCTGGGATGCTCGCGTGGTGCGAGATCCCTCATGAGTGAGTACGCTCAGAAGGAGGAGAGCAAGAGTAAGTCACATGTGCCGATGTTGCGATGTAGGTCCCACCCACTGACACAATCATCAGTTATTATCCAGTCTCACGATGCCACCTCGCACCAGACCATCAACGACCAAGTGGCCTCCATCAAAACCCTTAGCGGCAAGGGCGTCACGGGCATCGACATCATTACCTCCGACGCCGCCCGTCCCGCCGGCTGCGTCGCGTTCCCCGTCGCCTCCTCCGCCTCTGTGTACCTTCACGTCAAGGGCCGCGTCGACCTCGACGCCGAGGTTGAGAAGGCCAAGAAGAGGCTCGACAAGGCGCGCGCCAATATTGACAAGCAGCATAAGGTCCTCAACGACCCCATCTACAAGGAGAAGGTCGCCGAGGCCGTCCAGAAGCTGGACAAGCAGAAGCTCGTCGACCTCGAGTCTGAGGCCAGGAGTTTCGAGGACACGATTAAGCAGTTTGAGCAGCTCAAGCTCGAGTAAGGGCTTGTGTGTGAGTGGGATAAGGAGTAAAAAAAAGGTAGACGCATTTATCTGTGGTAGAGATGCGATAGGACTGCTAGTTGAGGGGGCAGGATTTCTTTGCTTGTCGTTGTTACCTTATCGAGAGGTTAGGGTTTAAATAGAGCCCGAATGTCAAAATTCAAAAAGAATGGCGTTGAGACATGATATATTTTGAATGAGGCATAATGTGCCTTTGCCCATTGATGGTGCGCCTCATACAGTGATCCTTATTTCCGATGCGAATAGCAAATGTCACCTAGAACCACCCTAAAAGCCATCAAAGTCGATGTGAAGGGCAAACCAATCATGATATTTCGCAACCCCTCACTTTACCTAAGACCTCCCAAGGACCTAGATCCATCCTCGCAATACCCGCCTGCGTGAGCACCCAGAAAGAAGAGTTCAGCTTTTTACTGCTTCTTCTTACTCGCAGACCCCTTGGCCCCCTTCTCCTCCTTCTCCAGCTTCGCAAAGTCCTCGCGGTCCTTGCGCTCAGCATACCACTGCCCAGCCTGCAACACCAGCACACCAACCAACACGAGCGCCAAAATGGTATTGCTCGCCGCCAGCACCTTTAAACTATCCTCCTTGCCCAGAATAATCTCCCCCGTGACGGGGCCGTCTTTCACTTCTCCGGTAAAGTTGGGGTCATCCCAGATGC